ATACTGCAAGCCTGATCCAAAAAGCCAACAGGGAACTGACAGTAAGTAGCCAGAGTCAGAGGGGAAATGATGCAGGAAATACTCTGAAAAAAACAGGAAACAGGAGGTGAGGAGGAATTGGGTACTTTGGATGAACAGTGGTAGATGGTGGGAGGAAATCGATGGATGTGGTCAATTCATTTAAGCTGGTCGAATGGAAAACTAAGTCAGATTTTTATACCCCGAGGCCACAAAGCTAAATTCTCATCGTCCCTTTAGTTGAGGAACAGATGTTTATCAAGTATTTACTCTGAGGTCCAGCTCTGAGCTGGGTGAGACTGGAGAATTAGGCAATCGAGTCTCACCTAAATGATATGGAGCCCAGCAAGATTCTGACTCCACAGACCAAGGCATTGGGGCTCTCTTTACTAGAGACCCACCAACTAAACTGTAATGGTTCTTATGTTTATAAACAGTGGGGAAGTTTAGCCCGAGGCCATCCACCTGAGTTGGACAGGTCCAGCTATTGAAATAAAAACTACAATTTGAAAAATGCTCAAAAATTAGAATAATCAAGTCTGAAGTATGGGGTTTATTGGTCAAGACAGAGACTGGATCCACACTCCATTTGTGAACTTTTAAAAAGCTGTGGCAATAGAGAAGTGGCCCCCAAAGCCACTGCAACAATGAGGGGTCTTTAAAAACAGCATGTTATCAAAATGACCTCCTTACTCCAGAAGGTCACACAGGAAAACAGTCAAAGTCAAGACGAAAAGAGCCCTTGGCCTGCCTTGCTTTGCAATGACCTTGAGTACAGGGGAAGTGTAAGGGTGCAGGTCACCCTAGACATCATGAAGCTGAAAGGCATGGGTTAAAGCTTTTAGGACAAATAGTATAAAGACTATGGGTCTGAAGAGCTTCTGATCTTCCCTTTCAGTCCTATTGATTTCCAGACTCTGTTTAACTTTAGGCCCAGTTAAAATAACACAGATAAGCCATTCAAGGAAATAAAGGGATGGGCTAGTTAAGGATTCAACATTCTTAAGTCACCAACAGCCACCCTGCACCTGAGACGCCTCTGGCTACGTTCCTTATCTCAGAACCAAGCTGGACCACAATACTGACGCCACTCACTGCTCCTCCCTTCCTGTAAAGTTTATATATGAGCTCAAGACGTGGGCCCTGTACCCTCGGGCTACACAGCAGCTGTTTTCTTGTAAAAACTGGGCCTTGCCATTAGGAGATGATCTTCCAGGTTAGAAGCTAACATGCTCAGGCTAGCCGCTTCCTTCAGCTTGTCAGAATGAGCTATAAAACTTTTGCTGTCATTTTAACTATACCTTCCCATACCTCCAGCTCCAAGAAGAACATTGCTCAGGGGGAAGCCAAAAAACACAACCAAAATCTATAAATGGAGAGATGATAAGTGGTATACCCAGGAAGCAGAGTCTAGCATTGGCCTTGCTGTGTGGCCTGGAGGAATGATTTTAGTCTGTTTCCGATTTGAGATCTTCATCTATCTCTGTAACTGAGGGATGACCGGAAGATAGCTACAGGAGCTTCCAGCACCATGAATGGGTAAAACAATCCCAGAAGACCTGGACACATTCATGAATGCCTCCTCTGCTCCTGGCCTCACAGAGATATTGGAAAGACTGAAATCAGCTTAGTTTTTACAGTTATCTATTCACTATGGTGTGGTGGGTGGGTGGGTGTGTACATGCACATGAGCTCTCACGAGCTCGAGCACTCCTAAATCTGACCTCACCTCCATCAGTCTTTGAACTCTGCAAGATCCTTGCTTCCAGGCTTCAGTTTGGGCATCTATAAAGTCAATCTAACTCACTTACAATCCAGGCCCTTTGACTCCCTTCTTCCTATGGCGCTCCTCTCTGGGCCGAAATTAGGTGGGATGATGAAAATGATAAGCACACGTGCAGAAGTCAGAGGAAAGAACTCAGGTAGCTTGGCAGCTAACACCTTTACTTGCTGAGTCGTCTCACCAGACCTGACACTATCCTTGAAGCTTTAAAGACTCTGAGAATGTGAGCAAATCCAACACCTTCAGAGATACTTCATCACCAAAAAACAAAAAAAAAGAGAATAACAAATGATTGAGAGCATAGAACTGTTGAGAAACTCAAACAGTGCCAGCAGGAGACAAGCCTCTGAACACATTTCCAGAGAAAGTGTTCAGGCCTGGGTGAGCAGTGTGCCTAAACGCACTGCTCCCCATGTCTGCATCCTTAAGCTCTTGAGGACCTTTAAATGATTAAGTCTTCACCACTGGCAAAATAATGACCTTCACGAGTACCCAAAAGAAGGCCAACCTGAACCCACATACTGATGAAGACTCCATACACAGGGACTTTAAGATGCAGAGCAAAGAAATTACCAGAGCCTTCCCCAAGGACAACTATAACCCAAAAGAGAGACCAGTCCAACGGACTGCAAGAGCAGGCTACATAACTCAAAACAACTGTAGTACTAATAACTCTCTGATGTGCTACATGGTAGCTGCAGTTCCTAAGGCTTCAGAGAAGGAAGGTGATGAGGTGTATGGAATGGATTTAAGGGCAACTCCAATTCAAATTCTCTCCCGCGAGAGAGAATTCTACCAGAGAGTCAACCTCTCAGACCTCAAAGCCAGGGACAACCACTCCTTCACAGCCAGGAAGTCTGAAGAGAGGAGAGAAAAATGGTAACCTCAAAGGGGTGCCTGGACCCTGAGACCCTTCCTGGGCCAGACTTGAAAACTGTTCCTCAACCATGGAAATGGAAGAAGTCTCCAAACCTCTGTTCCTGCCATGCTGAGCCCCCAAACTCCCACCCTGTGGGCATTTTATTCTTCACCAACCATTTGATTTGATTTGAACTTCAGTTAGAGACACAGCCAGAGCTCAGTCATAAGGACCCAGGTGTGTTGACTCTAGACCTTTAAAAGTTGTAATAAGCGCCAACCGGTGGTGGCGCATGCCTTTAATCTCAGCACTCGGGAGGCAGAGCCAGGGGTATCTCTATGAGTTCGAGGCCAGCCTGGGCTACAGAGTGAGTTCCAGGAAAGGCGCAAAGCTACACAGAGAAACTCTGTCTCGAAAAACAAAAAACAAAACAAAACAAAAGTTGTAATAAGCAAGCTTATAGTAGACTGAAACGCCTGAAAATCAAGGGATATAATCTTGCCTCAGTCTTTAGCCCTAAGTGCTGGGGCTTTGTGTCTCCAGTCAAAGAAGCAGCCTTCTCAGAGAGAGTCCAGAACCTTCCTTCCCTATGTCTCTTCCAACAGAGCTTGTAAACACAGCCTGATTTCACATCACAGCACCGGACATCTTTGCGCTGTCTTTCTCCCTCCTCTCCGCCTGCTAGGAAGAAGAGGCCTACAGAAATATTGAGCCCCAGCAGAGATGAGCTAAACCTAGAAGAAGGAGTCTTCAACGCTTGTGATTCATGAGTGAGAGGCTGGGATTTCCCCGAAGATCTTGTCTGTGATTGTGTATGAGAGAGACCCTTAATGCCTGGAACTGAACCGTCTCACTCCTAATTGTCTGAAGGTCTCAAGAATCCTCACTTGCAGTGAGACTCACCGAATACCAGTTCACACTCAGAGTCACTTACTTAAGGCTCCATCCCCCTCCACAAACACAAGTACAGGTAGGGTCGGGGACCATGGCCCAATCTATCATATTGCACAAGTCATATGTGCTAGTGAGCATGCATTTCAGGGTTAAGTGTCCAAAGCTATAAATCTCAAAAATTTGATACGCCAAGTCTTACAAAACCCCAACTATGCATGTGTCGTAAGTCTACAGAAGCCTATCATCTCCTGACTAATATGACACAAAGTGATAATCAGCTTTTTATACAGATAGCGCAGTAAGAACACTTTTGGTCCAGGGGATTGCACAATAGGTTTTTAGAACACTCACTCATGCAAGATTAGTTGAGAGCTAAGAGCCACAGATCTGGTACTACTGTAAGGCTGTGTCACCCACACGGTCTACCTGTTGACAAAGTGGATATACTACTTAGAGGGGTTTTTTTTTTTTTCATACTAAATGGTATATAGGGTAACAGAAGCAAACGCAGAGCACTATTCTTCTTTCCTGTCCCCCTCCCTAACTCTACAAAAGACACTCACATTCTGGATATCTCTGATGTTTAGCATAGTGCCTTATATACTTGTGCTGCCTGTACCAATGAACACAGAGTTAGAGTCTCAAATTTACCTCATAGATGAGAATATAATAGTGGTTATTACTTGCTAGGAAAGGAAGGAAAACAGAGCAGCCAGAGGATGGATAGCAGATACCAAAATATAGTTAGTAAGAAGAATAAGTTCCTGGGTTCTTTGTCACTGTAAGGTGATTATCATTTACAATAATTTGTTATATATCTCAAAATAATCATGTATCAAATTATCACATCCATCCACTGGAGCATGGGAGACCTAATTGGAGTCAGTAGTTTTTGAGATGGGATAGGAAATAGGGAAGGAGTGTGGAGAGGTCTTGGAGAAATTGCAGAGGTGAGGAAGTTGGATATGACCAAAACACATTGTATACATGCATTAAATTCTCAAAGAATACATTTCAAAATAAATAAATAAAATTTTTTGAGATAATCTTATTGCATATTTCTGGCTAGCCTGAAACTCATTCTGTAAGCCAGTTTGGCCTCAAACTGACATAGATACATCTACCTCTGCTTCATAAGTGCTGGGACTGAAGGCATGCTCCACCACACCCAGTTTAATGAACAATATTTTTAAGGAGCGTTTTGGGACATGAGTAGATTTTTTTTTTAATTATTCTTTTGGGTTAGTTTTATTCAGTTAACACTAGAAACCATATTATTTGAAGAAATCATTGATTATGGTATCAAATAGGTAGCCCATTCTGACCCAATCCAATCTGTTTCCATTAAGGCTTGTGACACTGACAACAAAAGGTGTTACTATGACAGCCTCGGCAGTGATACCACTTGACACATGGCTGATCCCAATTAAGATGTGGTCTCCACACAAAGTATGCTGGTTTCAAAGACTAAGTATGAGAAAAAGAATGTAAAATGTCTCTGTAATATTTATTACATGTTATGGTGTTAATATCTGAATATAGTGAAGTAAATAAAGTATAACCATGTTATGATGTTAATATCTGAATATAGTGAAGTAAATAAAGTATATTAAAACCAAAAAAATTCATCCCAGTGGATCACACACAAATAAAGACTTGAAAATAAAAGGCAACTCTTAAGAAAAAGAGAGTCAAGGGGAGAAGGAGGGAGATGAGAGGGAATGAGCGTGAAAATGACCAAAATTCCTTGTGAAGAGCACGAAACTGTCAATTAAAAAATGGAAGAAGTATCACACTATAACCCATAAAAAAGAACATACACCAGTCAGGTATCAATTAAAACTAAACTTCAGTTTTAGACATTTTGAATTATTAGCTGCTTGGAGTCAACTGCACTTGAGTTTTCCAAGGTTTAGAATCCCATATAGAAATACTGTGGCCCTCAAAACCTCTGGGACTATGGGAAAGACAGAAACGGCATTCCTAGCTCTCAACCTGTACAAAAACCAACTCAGAATGAAACTAAACCTGGAACTTAAGACCCAAAACTTGGAAAGTACCGAAGGAAAACATTTCAAGATAGAATACAGGCGATGACTTTCTGACAAAGACCCCAATAGCTTAAGTAATTACAGGAAAAAATTGACAGATGTGATTGCAAGAAATGTGAAGGGTTTTGCAGTACATAAGAAACGGTAGAATAAAGAGACAGTCTGGAGAGCAGCATGGGGGCACCTCACCAGATGCTCACCCAATCGGCGACTAAGATAGAGAATATAGAAAGAATTTTAAAAGTTGAACATCAAAAAGAACAGATGAGCTAATAAATAAATGGGCAATGAACAAAACGGGCACTTTTAAGTGGCCAAAAGTTCAACAATTTAGCCAACTAAAACTACATGGAGATTCCATGTCACTCTAGTCAGAATGGTTTTCTACAAGAAAGAAGGAAACAAACAACACGGCAAGAATTTGATGGGGGGCTGGAGAGATAGCTCAGAGGTTAAGAATACTGACTGCTCTTCCAGAGGACCCGAGTTCAATTCCCAGCACCCACATGGCAGCTTGCAACTGTCTGTAATGCCAGCTTCAGGGGACCCAACACCCATGGCAACAACATCAATGCACATTAAAATAAATAAATTTTTAAAAAAGAAAACAAAAAAAAGAATTCAATGGGGTTGAGAACACTAATAACGCTGATGAGAATGTAAATAAGTCCAACTACTGCAGAATTCAGTGTGGAGATTCCTTGGAATATGGAAAATATAACTTGCACATGATTCAGCTATACCCCTTCTGGGTATACACCCAAAAGAATCAAGTCAACTTACTCCAGCATTGTCTGTATACCTATGTTTATTGCATCACAACAGCCAAGTTATGGAACCAGCATAGGTGGTTAGACAAGAAATTGAGGTCTATATGCTCAGTGGAATTTTTTCAGCCATAAAGGATAATAAAATATATCAATTACAGAAAGAAATGGAAACTAGAGATCATTGTGTTAAGCAAAATAAGCTAGGCTCATGAAGATAAATATCTTGCTTTTTTTTTTTTACTTTTTGGTTTTTCTAGACAGGGTTTCTCTGTGTAGTTTTGGTGCCTGTCCTGGATTTTGCTCTGTAGACCAGGCTGGCCTCCAACTCACAGAGATCCGCCTGGCTCTGTCTGCTGGGATTAAAAGCATGCGCTACCACCGCCCAGCCAAAAGTAAATATCTTATGTTTCTCTGACATCTGAAATCTATGGATATATATATTTTTAAAAAAAGGACATGAAAGCAAAAGGGGTCTATTGGGGATTTGGAAGGAGAAAGATGGGAAGAAGGCAAGAAAAGACTGTAGTGGGAATGAATATGATCAAATTACATTATGCATACGTGTAGAAATATAATACAACTGCTTACTTTGTATAAAATGTAATTCACTTTTAAGAAAATTAAAACAAACAGCAATTATGCAGCTATGAAAATTTCATTTTAACACATAAGGGCATGAAGGCAGCACCTTACAGCTCAGATCTCCATCACTTTTTATAACAAATGACACTTAGACATAAAAGAGGAAGGAAGGAAGGCCATGATTTCTGAATTACAGTCTTCCCCAAAGTGTCCCACTGACTGCATGCTAACTTAGGCTTTTCCAACAGACTGGTGAATACATGGTAATGGGCCAATGTGGTCCACCGATCAGTGCTAAGAGCCACAGTTCAAACTTGTCCCCATGGATCCTGACTAAACAAAATGACTCCCTTTCATACCCATGGCGATTACTACCAAGAGAGGAGGCTGTTTCCCTCCAAAGCCACCACAGTGTCAGCTTCAAGATGAGAAACTTGTCTTCTCCAGCAGCTCCTGGCTTCTCTCTCTAGTGTATCCTACAAGGACAGGAGCACCAAGGAGCCTCCTTGGTTCACCTGAGTTCATACTGTCCAAACTGAAACAAGTGCCGCAAGTTTCTGAAAGCCGAAGTCTAATCAGGATCATTTAGATCATTAATGCTCCCCCATAATTAAGTCAATTTCTGATTAGAATTGTTATTTCAGCACAGCTGGGTGGAACAAGGTTCAACTGTGGTATCTTAATAGCAACAGAGTTCCAATGACGAAAGAACGGGAGAGCACTTTGTTCTTCATACACAGAGGGGCTGCTCTTGGCTCCAGGGTCATCAGGGAAGTTTTGAGTTAATCCCAAAGGAGAACAGTTGAGCTGGCTTCACACTCCTTCTTGCCAATAGTGTCTAAGGGCAGGCTTGGTTTGAAATAAGAATATGGTGACGTGTGAGAACACGGGGAAAATATCAACCTCACACAGTATACAACATATTTACACTTCATAATCATTGCTTCTTCATGTACCTATGAAATAGATAGTAGGATTCCTGTTTGGTAGACAAAGTAAGTGAGGATCAGACAGCTTGATCACTCAATAATCAATAAATACTGAGTGCCTCCTCTGTGGAGGGATTGCATGAGCTCCTGTGACTTGCCCATGGTGACACAGTTGACAATAGTAAGGACCCAAACCCAGTCACCAAACTCATGCCCATTCCACTCTGTGGCTGCCCCTCAGAGGTCTGAGTCACCATACATCATCACAGGACATCCAAGACAAAGGACCATGGTGGGAAGGACCCCGGAGTCTTGTCTTGTTAGTTTTCACCTCTTCAAGTAAAGTCAGTATTGATGATCAAAATACCCGCTATCCACAGGAACAACTCAAAGTAACCTAGAGTCATGTTAGTTACAATGCTGTCCATGGTATACCATCCAGAACTGGCAGCAGGGGACTCATGAACCCTCACAACCAATAGGAAAAGCAGAAACACCCCCAACAACGCATTCATTGTTGTTGAGTTAAACCAAAGTAGAGAAACTGTGGCAAAAAAAGAGTTGGATTCTAAAGTTTTGAGAATTTCCAAAGTAATCAAACAGCAAAATCTGAAAGATACTACTCCTTAGACTAGCGTCTGGGAGATCTCCAGATTCCCTTCAGCTGCTGCTTCACAAGTCTGGAACCTATTCCTCAAGTATCATCCTCTGGTTATGGCATGCAACCCATATCAGACATTTTGAAAACAATTTCTGCCATCCACTCTTGGCCGGCTCCAATGACCAACCTGCTCACAGTTACATCAGAGAAGTGGCCAGTCATACACTAAACGCCTATCCCTATCCCAAGAATTCCAAATCTTCATGAATGGGTCAATCCTTTGCTTGCAATCACAAGGAGGTGGGGCCAAGAGTTACTAGTCACGTAACTGGGGCCAGACTCAAGGAGGTGCTTGATCAATAGATGAGTCAGACAGAGCAGGCTAAGAGTATAAAACCTCAGGAGCCCCAGTGTTCCTCACATCACCATCATCTCCTTCCCTCACTCACCTCCCCTGGTGCTTCGGGTAAGTGTGGGCTCTCCTGGCTCTCTGGTCTCTCCAGCTGGCCTTGCTCAGCTTGCAGAGGTTAAGGGACAGGACCCCTCTCCCCCTTTGGAAGCTACTACATTGGTATTAAGAAGGGGTTTAGGAAAGCAGTGGTAAGCTGCTGCTGGGCTGGTGATATTTCTTGGTCTTCTAGCCAGAATGTTAAACTCTGCCAAGAGAGTACTGCCTCTTACAGAGGCTCTGAGGGCTAGAACGCAGGAAAGCTCTGCAGTGGATGCCCAAGGCATCCTGCCATGGACTGAATGAACCTTATGAACCTGTCAGGAGAGGCTGAACACACTATCAGAGAGTCGGGAGGATAAGCCATGGAATGATGTTAATGGGAGATATTAGAGGAGCCATTTAAACCCAAGCCCTGCTTTATGGAGGCAGATGTTCTGACAGATAAATGACTTGTGAGATGCTGGGCTACAAGTTCCTACTAGCTGCAGTTCTCTACCAAACTTAGACTCCTGCATATCCTCAAAAAGATGCCTGCCATCTTCTGGTCAGATGTGCTGGTCCAAACGGTTCAGTACCCTTCCCACTTTTTGCAGGCAGAACCACAGGAGAGCTGCTTTGTCTAATAATTGGCCCTTGGAACATATCCTCATTCCGTAGGACAGATCAAGAGTTTGAACTGAGGGCTATTGCAGAAAAAGAGTCCTACAGTCCACTAATGTCCAAACAAAACTTTCCTCTTGGTGTGCTGGGAATGGGTAAAACCCAGGTGGAGATTTAATGCAATTTTCCATTGAGCTTAGAAACATGACTGGGACTTGGGAGCACCCTAAGGGAAGGAGTGTTCCTTGATAGAAGATAAGAAGTAGACAGGAATGTGGGTGCTCTGACCTCCAAATCACACAGCAGAAGTCAGGCACAGTTGAGGGAAAAGGGAGGCACCGCTAATGGGGCTTTTGTCCTAGCAAGAACTCTCCAGTCCCTGAATGGAGTCTAGAAGCCTGGTCTGCATGTGCTGGGAGTCAGAAGGATGCTGCCATGGATGCAGCTGATTCCTTCACAGCATCCTCTTGCTGCTGGTCCAATGATGCTCTTCTGCTCTTCCTGCAGGGTTCTCCTTCTCCTTAAACAAGATGTCTCACCAGAAAAAGCAGCCCACTCCCTGTCCTCCCGTGGGTTGTGGAAAGACCTCCGGTGGAGGAGGCGGTGGCGGCGGCGGTGGTGGCGGCGGCGGAGGCTGTGGCTACTATAGCGGTGGTAGCGGTGGCGGCTCCAGCTGTGGAGGTGGCTCATCTGGAGGAGGCTCCAGCTGCGGAGGCGGAGGCGGCGGCTCCTACGGAGGCGGTTCCAGCTGTGGCGGAGGAGGTGGCTCCGGTGGGGGCGTCAAGTACTCCGGGGGCGGCGGTGGCTCCAGCTGCGGCGGCGGCTACTCCGGGGGCGGCGGTGGCTCCAGCTGCGGCGGCGGCGGCTACTCCGGGGGCGGCGGTGGCTCCAGCTGTGGCGGCGGCGGCGGCTATTCCGGAGGCGGCTCCAGCTGCGGAGGCGGTGGCGGCTCCGGTGGGGGAGTTAAGTACTCCGGTGGCGGCGGCGGCGGCTCCAGCTGCGGCGGCGGCTACTCAGGCGGGGGCGGCGGCTCCAGCTGCGGCGGCGGATCAGGAGGAGGCGGCGGCGGCTCCTACTGCGGAGGCTCCTCCGGAGGCGGCGGCTCTGGTGGCTGCGGTGGTGGCTCCGGAGGGAGCAAGTACTCCGGCGGCAGCAGCGGCGGCGGCTCCAGCTGCGGGGGCGGCTACTCCGGCGGCGGCGGCGGCTCCAGCTGTGGCGGCGGAGGCTACTCCGGAGGCGGCGGCTCCAGCTGCGGCGGCGGCGGCGGCTACTCTGGCGGCGGCGGCGGCAGCTGCGGAGGTGGTTCCTCCGGTGGCGGCGGCGGTGGGTCCGCGCAACAGTATCAGTGCCAGAGCTACGGAGGCGGCTCTAGCGGGGGCGGCTCCAGCTGCGGTGGCGGCTCCTCCGGGGGCGGCTCCAGCTGCGGTGGAGGCTACTCCGGGGGCGGCGGCTCCAGCTGCGGTGGTGGCTCCTCCGGGGGCGGCTCCAGCTGCGGAGGAGGCGGCGGCTATTCCGGTGGTGGCGGCGGCAGCTGCGGCGGCGGCGGCTCCTCCGGTGGCGGCAGCGGCGGCTACTACTCGTCGCAGCAGGCCACCCAGAGCTCCTGTGCCCCCCAGCAGAGCTACGGAGGGGGCTCTTCAGGCGGAGGTGGTAGCTGCGGAGGTGGCTCCTCTGGTGGCGGCGGCGGCGGCTGCGGTGGAGGCTACTCCGGTGGCGGCGGCTGCGGCGGAGGCTACTCCGGTGGCGGCGGCGGCGGCTGTGGCGGCGGCTCCTCCGGGGGTGGCAGCGGTGGTTGCGGAGGCGGCCACTCCGGGGGCGGCGGCGGCGGCGGCTCTAGTTGCGGCGGCGGCTCCTCTGGGGGCGGCTCTGGAGGTGGCAAGGGCGTCCCGGTCTGCCACCAGACCCAGCAGAAGCAGGCGCCTACCTGGCCCTGCAAGTAAGGTCCCCAGGTTGCCACGGAGACAAAGGAGCTGGAGGTGTTCTCCGTGGGTGCCGGCAGGCTTAACTTTCTCATGAGATTGCCCGAGGGTCTTCGAGGTTTCCAGACCCTTCACATCTTAACAACCCCGCCCTCCTGCCCCAGAAGAAGCCATTGAGTCACTCAAGCTGCACCTTGTTCTGCAGATGTTCCATCTTGGTTTCTGAATGACTACCTCCCAACTCCAGTACCTCCTCACTCAATAAATTTGCAATTCATGAGAATCTCTGAGTCTCCCGGTAGTCTTTGTAGCCTGTAAATTCACTCACTCCATCCTGTCCTCTCTTCTTCCATTTATTCATTCACACTTACATTAATTCAACAAATATTCTATCCAAAGGTAGATGGGATGGCTGGCAAGTGATGACCAAGGATGTGAACCAGTTTGTCCCCCAAACACAAAGGACAGTCTTCACTGGACATCCTCCACATCCCTGTGAGTTGGGCAGTCACCAGGGGTGGGTCAGGTCTTCTTAAGGCAGTCTACCAGGCAATTTCTTGCAGCTCAGAACTTACTCTCCAAGTTCTGGAAGTCGGGTGGCTTTGTCCGGCAGCACTAGCATGCCGCAAGGACTAAGGAAGAAAGAAACGCAACAGCCCCTTTGAAACTGTCCTCTCCTGCCCCTTTAGCTCTTCTGCCCCTTCCCAATCCTTTGTGCTGAAGAGAACCCTTTGATCAGATTTTAGCTAACTAGCTACCAGAGGTCCAAGTCCATTGACATGTTCTGACCAGTGAAGAAGGACATGACACCTGGACCAGAAGACCCCTGCCCAGGTAATCTTCCTGCTGATGTAACTACTTTCCTTTCTCCATAAGTCCATGACCCATGGTAGAGCCTTGAGGCAAAAAAATAAAATAAAATAAAATAAAATAAAATAAAATAAAATAATAAAAAGCAAAACCCACTATGTCTTCTCAAGATTGCCAGTCCTTGAATAAACCTGATTCCTTCCCACTAATGCAGCTCTACTGAATACTGATACCAAAGCAGAGGGATGCCTGGTTTTGTTACTGTTAGCAAAATATTACATCAGATACTCAAGAGCCTCCACAGTGTGCGAGGTACTCTACTGGACATCTACAGGGACAGAAGGTGGCCCTCTTGAAGGGTTAAAGGAGGGCTTTCATCCAACTTGGAAGGTATAACATAAATGTGTGAAATGCTCAACATCAGTACCACAGGTACTGGAAATACCATCAGTACATCCAGGTCACTGGAAAACAGGAAATCTCGTAACTAACCAAGAAGAAGCTAGAGTTGCTTCAAGGGATTTGTGAGCTATGCTGCAGTCATCTGAGATGTAGACTGTCTCCTGGTCAGATCCTATTTTATAGTCAGATTTTATCAGCTTTAGGCAAATGCTAACTTACTGATTTACTCAAATTAATTGTGCTACATTAAAAAGTCAATATGCCTTTCCTATATTTAGTTAATGTTAGAAATAAAAAGACTTCACATGACTCTCCCATGTGGAGTCATCACCGCCTTCATCATTTTGCATCAGAGACATAGAGAGCAAACCAAGTAGCAACCTCAGTGACACGGTAGTCCAACCACCACATTTTTAATAACTAAGTTTATTCATTAACATGGTTGTACATGCACATAATACATTCTGATTACTCACAGCCCTATCCTTTTCTATCTCCCTCCCAACCCCTACCGGTCACCACATTCCCTACAAATCTCTTTCCCACATTCTTGTCATTTTTTGTTTGTTTGTTTTGTGGCCCGCTGACCAGGGCCATCTGTATGACCATGGGTTTGGAACTGTCCATTGGACTCTTGGGATCACCACTGGGTACACAACTGAAGCCAATGACTCCCCTTCACAGAATCTATCTGTAAACACTAGTTCAACAAGGAGTGGTGGATCTCCACCAGTCCCTCCTCCATCCATGGCTAACTGTTGACAGGAGCAGTCTTGTACAGGCCTAGGTCAGGTAACCATAGCTGCTGTGAATTCATGATTGCAGCGACTGTGTCATGCATAGAAGATGATATTCTTCAGCCTTCCTCTCTGCCTTCTGTCTCTCACATTCTTTCTGGCCCTCTTCTGGGATGTTCTTTGAGTCTTAGAGGAACGTTTTGGTTAGGACTGAGTGCTCAGTTGTCATTTATTCTCAGCATCTTGAGCAGCCATGAATTTCTGCATTTTCTACTGTTCTGTGCCTAGAGGCTTCTCTGATTAAGTTTGTGAGTAGCTGAGTAGTCTATGAGCATAAACACAGATGTTTAGAAAGTAGTTTGATGCTACATCTATTTAGCTAAGAAAGGGTAGTAAGTGCTGGGCAGTAGTGGCGCATGCCTTTAATCCCAGCACTCGGGAGGCAGAGGCAGGCAGATCTCTGTGAGTTCAAGGCCAACCTGGTCTACAACGCAAGTTCCAGGAAAGGCGCAAAGCTACACAGAGAAACCCTGCCTCGAAAACCCCCCCCAAAAAAAGGGGGGGTAGTAAGATTCTCCCTAGGGACTATGACTTCCCTATCCATGTGTTTTTTGGGGGTTTTTTTGTTTTGTGTTTTAACCAGGTTTATGGTACTAGGCATGAATTCCCTCCTGTGGATCAGGCCTCCAACCCAGAGCGCTGCTAGTTACCCTATAACAGTTGTGCTACTATTGCACAAGCAGCACCTCTTGCCTCGCAGCTTAATACTGTAATTTGTGGGGTTCACTGGGTAAGATCATTGATACCTTTTCTCCCCTAGTAGCTTGCATAGCATCTCCCAGCACTATGAAAGCTAATCAGCAGAGAGGAACTTTCCACTCCTAGATTTCTTCATATTTTGCAACTGAGGAACAATGTCTTATATATTGGTTTGGAGAAATCTGAGGCTTCCCAGTTCCAACAACTCATATGAAAGTATTCTATACCTGATACTGGGAATTTTGTTTGGTAACCGCTGATTCTAGGAGCATCAGCATCCAACCATGTAGGTACTACCCCCTTAAAACATTTTTAAACTACAATTTTATAAGATACTAGATATAATAGATTTTCATATGGCTTTTTCACATACCCTTCATTTTGGTTAACTATCACCCCCAACCTTTCTCCTCCCTCACACCACCACTGCCCTCCCAGATGAAACATTTCAACTCCAAGTATTCTCCCTCTCTACTTTCATCTTTCCTATATTGTACTATCTCAACTCCCTTAAGGTGTCTCCCTACCAATAGTCCTTTCCTAAGCTGGTAGCACACATCTTTAATCCCAGCACTTGAGGTACAGGTAGATGTATCTCTGTGAGTTCAAGGCCAGTCTTGTCTATATAGCGGGTTCCAAGCCAGCCAGGACTACATCGTGAGACCTTGTCTCAAAAAAAACCCCATTATAGTTGCCTGGTTTTCACTTGAACATCAAGTTAAACACACAAAACTAAAGACTCAAAACTAGGATCCACATACAAGTGAGAACATGCATTTCTCTTCGTGGACCTCTGTTACCTCATCAAGTATAATTTCACCCATTTCATCAGTTTGCTTAAAATTTTCATAATTTCATTTTTCTTTAGTGATAAATAAAATTGGATTGTATATATTACCACATTTTCATTATCCATCTTCAGTTGATGGACATCTAGGTGAGTTTCATTTCCTATCTATTGTGAACATAGCAGTGATGAGGTGCTAACACAGGTGAGCATGTATCTCTGTGTTAGGATAGAGAGTCCTTCAGGCATATGCCCAAGAGTCATATATCTGGGTAATTTGAAGTTTTATTTCTAGTTGTTTTTAGTAATTGCCATACTGTTTTTCAAAATGGACAGACTCCTTTACACTCCCACCAAAAGTGAATATATAAGGATTCTCCTTACTCCACACCCAAATCAGTATTTATTGACATTTGTATTCTTGAAAATGGCCATTTGGCCAGGGTTGAGACAGAATCTTAAAGTAGCTTAATCCACATTTCCTTGATAGCTAAGGATACTGAACACCTTTTAAAATGCTCACTACTTGTTTGCATTTCTTCTTTTGAGAACTCTCAGTTGCATGGTTCATTCCTAAACTATATTGTTTTCTTGATGTTTAGCAATTTGAATTCTTCATGTATTCTAGACACTAAAACTCTGTCAGATGTATAACTAGCAAAGATTTTCTCCAATTCTGTGTGTGGCCTCTTCACTCAACTGACAGTTTTCTTTGCTGTACCTCTTTAGTTTCATGAGATCCTATTTGTTGATGGTTAGTCATACTTCCTCTACTACCAGAGTCCTATTCATAACGGGAACTATGCCTGTATGTTGAAGTGTACTCTCTGGTTTTTCCTCTGGCAGTTTCGGAGTATGAGATTCTGTGTTGAAGTCTTTGATCCAGTAGGAGTGGAGTTTTTTCAGAGTGGAAGATAATGATCTAGTCCATTATTCTGCATGATGATGTACAGATTCTCCAGAATAATTTGCTCAAGATGCTGTCTTTCCTCCAATGTTTATTTCTGGCATTTTTGTCAAAAATCAAATAGTTATGGTTGTGTGAACTTACATCCATGTCTTCTACTCTATTCCATTGATCTGTGTATCTGATTTTGTGCCAGTATCACACTATTTTTACTACTATGGCTCTGCAGTACAACATGAAGTCAGATATGATGATATTTCCCATAGTATTTTTTTCTTCAAAATTGCTTTCAACTATCTGTGGTTTATTTGTTTCCATGCAAATTTTAAAATAATTTTTTCTATGTCTGTGAAATGGCCCTGGAATTTTGATTGGGATGGCACCAAATGTGTAAACTGCTTTTGGTTGGATGGTCATTTCACAATATTAGTTCTTCCAACCCATAAGCATGGGAGGTCTTTCTATCTTCTAGAATTTTCCTCAATTTCATTATTTTGCATTTTAAAGTTGTTTTATGCAGTTTTTCATACATTTCAATTAAAATAACACTACATCACTGGATCACTTTACTCTTCCCCTCAAGCTCTCCCAAGACCCCACCTTCCACATCCTTCCATATCACCTCCCCACTCTCAAATTGAAAGCCTCTTATTTCCCAATTATTATTGTTACATATATGTGTACATATATGTATGAATATGTGTATGTGTATATGTACACACAAATATATAAATATGTACTGCTGAGCTCATTTTTGTTGTTTATGCATAGGCAGTCTCAGGGATGACCTTTTGATTGGATGACCAGTTAGAGACCTCATCCTTGGGAGATGCTAATTCTCCCTCTCAATAGTCATTAATTGCCTGTAGTTCCTTGTCCAG